TCCAAAGTCCGCTTTCCCACGTGACAACCTAACTCCCAAGTCAATCTTCATTAGCTCCCTGTCAAAATTTTCATGTTAAAATCACTTCGTGGAATTCATGACTCAAGTTTTAAACGAAATTCACCATTTGGTTGGTTTCTGGGTTAAATCATTCAATATATCAAAGAATGATTGAACGATTTTATTGTTTGTAACATTGTATTCATCTCATGTTGTTGTGGTTGTGTACTTTCGCTCAGTAGACGCATCTGTTTCCGGGATTTGAAAATTCTCGTGTTAAAACCGGTTGGGCGGATGGTTGAACCGGAAGTGTAATCCCGTGTAATCTGCCCCACCCTCTGAGAAGTCATCACGTGGTTGACCCATATAACCTAGTTATTGCTTGGGAGTTAAATATGGGTCAAGGTTGTCTTTTGATTAAAGGTGATGGATGGAGGCAACAGATGAACAAAAGCGCAGACCACTTTATAAAGGTAGATGCATGAATAGATTGAGACCGGCTTTATACTATGTTTCAGTTTCTCTAGTATGGTATGGCTCAGTAGCAGTGTTTCTTCCAGACTATTTTCTCCTTGGGTGGGGGGGGGGGGCGCACTTGAATTTTTTTTGGGGGGGGGGCCAGAGTTTCTTCCAGGCATCTTTTCGGGGGGGGGGGGGGCAAAGCCCCCCCGAAAATTTTTTTACCGCCCCCCCCCCCCCCCCGAACGAAATAAAATTTATAAAATTTATATAGAAAATATATACTTTTAACAGTGTCCGCCCCCTCGAAGAAAGTCTACCGCCCCCCCCCCCCCGAAAATTTCAAGTGCCCCCCCCCCCCCGGAGAAAAAAGTCTGGAAGAAACAACACTGGGGGTGGGGGGCGGACTAAATTCCGTTCGGGGGGCGGTAGAAGGTGCCTGGAAGAAACTCGGCTCCATACTCTTAATTAACTATTGGAGGTCTGCACATTGGAAATCCAAGCACAAAACCTGGGCCCCTTTAGTTGAGATAGAAGAAGATTTGGCCCTTGTATCAGAAGTGGGGGGGGGGGGGGAAATGGGGGAGGGGGGGGTGAAATGTGACACCATGCAAGGGGTGGCACCAATTTGAGAAACTCTGCTTGTCTTACTTGATTTAGCATTTCATTCTTTTATTCAAGCTAGAAATCATTTCTAGTGTAGAGTGATCCCATCTAGGATGTGCGTGTATGTGTGCGCGTGTGTGTGTGTGTGCTGGGCTGGTATTACACCGAAATAATGAGAGTTTTAGTTCAGTTTTTATGAAGTCGTTGTGTTACGACACCGGGTGTTGTCCTGCGCTCTACCACCCTACCACACTCGGCACTTTTCATAAAATTCCTTCATTGGCCGCAATCACAGACACACAGGTCAACTTTACCCATACCACAAACTACATGACATCATTAGCCGCTAATGAGCGCAGAGTATGCAAATTAAGCCCAAAACGGGCAAACTTTAAATTTATTTGTCATGTGCATTTAGCGGGGTTATTGATTATTGAAACTACCAAAATAATCAATTAGTTGGAACTTGATTTACGGGTAGCTTGATTAGATCACGTGATTTTAGTAACCGCCGTGACCTTTTTGGTTTGTCCCTAAACTAGTATCGTGACAGAGATAACGTGATTTCAGTTGTAGCGTGACACAGATCACGTGATTTTAGTAACCGCCGCGACCTTTTTGGTTTGGCCCTCAACTAGTTGTACCGTGACAGAGATCACGTGATTTCAGTTGTAGCGTGACACAGATCACGTGATTTTAGTAACCGCCGCTACATTTTGGTTTGTCCCTAAACGGGTTGTAGCGTGACAGAGATCACGTGATTTTTATTAACCGCCGTGACCTTTTTGGTTTGGCCCTCAACTAGTTGTACCGTGACAGAGATCACGGTCGCCCACGTGACACCTGATGACGTCACGGGGTCTGGAAGATGCGGCGCTATCGGTGGTGAGTACTTTCAAAGGGAGACAACACAAACTGCCGCAGGGCGCTCACAGGCACGGCCGGCGACTGGGTCATCTCCGTCTGGTTTGATTAAACTGCCGTATCGAATAAGTCGGCTATCGTACGGACGGCAGTTATTTTTTTCTTTATGTCAAATCCAACTATTTCCGACTGGTTCTGTGACGTCAGTAATTAGCTTTTGTTTTAATGCGTTTAGTTGGTCAGTAGCGACCTATCTATGTTAACATTACAGATATAGGTTATTTTAACATAGAATCTATATCATATTTATTTATTATTATTTCGTCTGATATTTTAAAAAAATGCTTTAAAATATGACATTTGACTCTATTTGTTAATATCTCTCTTTTAGTTCACGTGTTTAAAGACTACCAATTAGGACGATAAAGAGGGCGAGGTACGAATTCGATCAGGTGACGCTAATGCCACCCGCTCGCTCTAAAACAACATCTGCTAATTAGTTTGAACACATTAATATTAAATCACCACAATGGAAAAACATTTTTTTAAATTATTTAGATCTTGTGCAATGTTAAACTATTCATTTTATGCTTTATTGTTTTTATAACAGCTGATCTGTAAGAAGCTGTTTTTTTTTTAAATCTTCCGAGCGGTGCATACACCGGTTATAACACAATAATATTCATTATTAACAGCTAACATGACATAGGTATTTATACCAAGACTTGAAAGTTTAGTTTACTTTGTTGCCGCAGTTTTATTAATGCATTAATTCGTATTTTTATTAATGTATTTACGTTGAACATTTTTTTTCGTGTAATCGGCAACGGATTGGATATTAAATCCGTACATAATCCGAGTTCGTTTTAAGTAAACGGGCATGTTCGTAAGCCGAAACGTTCGTACCTCGGGTCAAATGAATCTTACGTAAGCTACTAAGGTGTATCAGGTTCATTATGTACGCTAGACCCCGCCCCTTATCATGTCCAGTCTGCCACCAGTACCAGCACCATCACGTGGCTCTAGTTCGTGTCTGGAATAGTTTATTGTTTGTTGTGCCTAGAGTGGTCTGTCCTTTATAATAGCCATATCACTAGGTCAATGACCGCTCGTCTCAATGAGAGAGGTTTTGTTTTTCATTTGTTTCTCTCCACAATACACTAGTGGGAATTCACATTGAAGGCAACGGCTCTATAAATAATTTCTTGCAGTGGTTCTCAAGGTTTTTAGATATCGGAGTACTTTCTTTATTAAAGTTCCCCTACACCAGGGGTCTCCAAACTTTTCAGTCCGAGGGCCGCATTAAATATCAAATTTCAGTTCAGGGGCCAGTTTCTTCCAGGCAAGTCTTTGATTTTTATGGGCAAAGTTCATCAGCCATCACCAACAAACGATTTTTCCTTGGACAAAAAATTATCCGCGGGCCGGATCAGATGACTTCGTGGGCCGCATCCGGCCCGCGGGCCGTAGTTTGGAGACCCCTGCCCTACACCATGTAATACAGAGTTCATCTATTTCTGTAACATTAGCTGATGTAAAGAAGATGGTCCGTAGACCAACTAAGTCTAGCCGTCTTAACTTTCCCCATATCAAGCCAGATATTACTACCAGATCTGGTAGAGTTCAGTGTTTCTTCCAGTGGGGGTAGGGGGGGTGGGGGTGGCGCTTGATATTTTATATTTTCTGGGGGGGGGGGGGCGGATTAAATTTTTCGGGGCGGGGTGCGGACACTAGTAAAAGTATATATTTTCTATATAGATTTCCATTTCGTTCGTGGAGAGGGGGAGGGAGGGGCGGTAGACTTTCTTCGCCCCCCCCCCCCCACAAAGAAATGCCGGGAAGAACACTGGTAAAGTTAAATACGGGCAACCGACTTTCGCCTGTGTACAGAACTTGAGACTAGTTGGCAGTGGTGGTCTGGGCCACCGGTCCGCCAGGAGAAAGTCCACGTGGGCCGTCATGTTGCCCTTTTAGAGCTTTAATTTATTTCAAAGATATGCTTATTTAATTGACCCTTCCGACTTTGTCAGTTTGTTGTTACTGTATGCTACAATTTGTAAAGTGACCCGTGGTCTTGTAGGCATAGGTCCTCATGCTTGGATTAAAATATAATGAACTTAAAAATTAAGTCGGCAATGGGACTGCTTTTATTCACCCCCCCCCCCTTGCCACATGGGCACAGTACGTCAATCCCTACTTTCTGAACCTTAAGCTGTAGTAAATTATTTTGTTAATCTACGTGTATATTTTTAAAACTCGAATCTATTTGTGAATAGGTTATGTACATTTTTGTGTCAATTTACAGAAAAAATAAACCGGGAGTGATCTCCCCTAAACTTTCTCGAATATTCTTATATAAAATAACAGGGGATGGGAACTCGGGCTATAGACATGATTTTTAATCCATTTTAAATACTTAAAGTTTTAAAAATAGAATAAAATCTCGTAGACAAATTAATTGCACACCAAGTGAACGCCAAATAAAAAAGCGCATAATGGTGCGCAATATTATCATTACTTTTAAAATTTACATTAGTTTTTTGAGAAATCGGAAGTAGCGTAAAGTACTACTTCCAGTCAACGGAAATGACTCAAAATTTGATAGAAGGTAGAGAATTAGATCTTTTACTTACATATGAAATTTCATTTATCTATCTGAAATAGTACTCAAGTTATAGGCTTTTGAAAAATTCAAAGTAGGAAAAGTACCACTTCCGGTTATCGGAAATCGCTCAAAAGTTGATACGGATCTACGATTTTGATAAAATACTTATATATGAAATTTCATCAACCTAGCTGTAACGGTTCTCAAGTTATCGTGTTTACACACGGACAGACAGACACACAGACACACAGACAGACACACAGACATACGGACAAGATTGCAAAATTATGTTTTTTCCGTATCAGTGAGGTGTGAAACGTCGAGATTTGTAAAAATCTCGATTTTTTTTTTGCACGATTACAAGACTTTCTCTATACTTCGTATATACGAGAAAGTAAAAATTAATCAATTCTTCTTCACAGGCGCCTTCCTTATACCCTACCTAGTGATGCTCTTCTTAGAAGGCATGCCAGTCTTGTATCTGGAACTGGCCATCGGTCAGCATTTGAGGTCGGGGTGTGTGGGCGTTTGGAACAGGGTCCACCCTTTTATAGGCGGGCTCGGGATCGCATCGGCTGTGACGTCATTTCTAGTGGCCATTTACTACAATGCTATCATCATGTGGTGTTTCTTCTACCTGTTCCATTCATTTCAGGTGAGTTTGGGTCACATCATTTTAATGAAATATATCTATCTATGTCTACGTATACATACTCTCTCTCTCTCTCACACACACATATACATTTTCTTTTTTTACAAATTAGATATAGCTATGTATATATATATATATATATATATATATATATATATATATATATATATATATATATATATATATATATATATATATATATATATATATATATATATATATATATATATATATATATATATATATACGATACTTTGTGTTTGTGTTGTGTTTGTGTTTTCTTTTGTTCTGTTCCCAAATTGGCACATTTATAAAAATATTCACCGTGACGAAGCACGGGTATGCTGCTATTTTATATATGTGTATATATATATATATATATATATATATATATATATATATATATATATATATATATATATATATATATATATATATATTCATGTATAATTTTGTATGTAGACGACTCTCCCATGGTCCGAGTGCCCCACATATGTAAACGAACACAACAAGACACTGAACATTGAGGAATGTGACATTAGCGGACCAACTTCCTACTTCTGGTACCGGTCAGCTCTGGACATCTCGCCTGGCATTGACCAGCCTGACGGCATCAAATGGAAGCTGCTGCTGTGTCATGTCTGTGCCTGGATCGTCATTTTCTTGTGTATCTGTAAGGGCATCAAGTCTTCCGGGAAGGTAGGTCATGGCCTTAGTGTGTGGTTTCATGGCTTTAGTGTGGGTACTTGAACTTGGTGTCTGGGTACATGGCCTTAGTGTGTGGGTACTTAGTGTCTGGGTACATGTCGTTGGTGTGTGTTTATGTCCTTGGTGTGTGTGTTACCTTGGTGTGTGTATGCCCTTGGTGTGTGTGTATGACCTTGGTGAAGGTAGATGTCGTTGGTTTGTTGGTAGATTACCTTGATATGTAGGTATATGATTGTGATGTGGGTACATGACCTTGGTGTGTGGGTACATGACCCTGGTGAGTGGGTATATGACCTTGGTGTGTGTGTTACCTTGGTGTGTGTATGACCTTGGTGTGTGTGTATGACCTTGGTGTGTGTGTATGACCTCGGTGTGTGTGTATGACCTTGGTGTGTGTGTATGACCTTGTTAGATTACCTTGATATGTAGGTATATGATTGTGGTGTGTGGGTACATGACCTTGGTGTGTGGGTATGTGACCTTGGTATGTATGTGTATGTACATTACCCTGGTAAGTGGGTATATGACCTTTCTGTGTGTGATAGTGAATACATCACCTTTGTGTGGGTAGATGACCATGGTGTGTGGGTACATCAACTTTGGGTGTGGGTATATGTCGTTGGTGTCAGGGTATATATGACCGTAGTGCGTATAGATAATCTTGTAGTGTAGATAGTGAGCACAATACTTTGGTGTGTGGGTAGATGGTCCATGAACGTGGTATGTGGTTACATGACCTTGGTGTGTGATATTGTGTACATGACCCTTATGTGTTGATTGTACGTATATAACCTTAAAGTGGGTTCTTCATACATGATACTGGCGTGTACATAGTGGATAATTGGTGTTTGAGTGGATAGATGTGCATCTTTTGTGTGTAGGTATCTACTATTCACACACTGTTTTTTGATGTTTGTCTCAGGTTGTGTATTTCACCGCCACATTCCCCTACGTTGTGCTCATCATTTTCTTCATCCGTGGCATCACACTAGAGGGCTCTGTTGATGGTCTCGTGCACATGTTCACGCCAAAGGTCAGTTTCTAAATCTCGATCAATATTGTGATGTATTACTTTATTTTTAAAATAGTCACTGTTTACTGCAATTTTAAATATAGGAGCAGGATAACTTTATTATTCCTTTCTAAATCTTTAAATTAACGTTAAAAACAGTTCTTAGTTACTTTAAAACGTATATTTTGTGTTTATCGACGTTTCTCCCCCATTGTAACCAAGTTGCTTCCCCTCTTGGTATTGTTACTTCCCCTATCTCATACATGAATTTAAGTGCGGGGTGGGCCTTTCTCAGCACTTTCTGGGCGCCGCAAGGCTTAGATACTTTAAATATCATTATCATCATCAGCATCCTCTCTTCCCGTTTGTGCCCAAGGCACATGAGACAGGTGAAGTAGAGTTCACCTGCTTCAATAAACTCGGCATATTGGGGGATAGTTTGGTAAGTACTATGCCCAGCCGCATTACTTTCTCTAACGTGAGTTAGGTATCCATCAGAGCTGGGTGAACTCAGGGACGTTCCAAAGACCCAAGCTCGCGATCCGAACTAAAGGATTTCGGGCTAGCACTTGTAAGCTCTACCACTTAACCATGTCGTCCCATATATACTTTAATGCATTGATTGGTTAAACTGATATATTGGACAGATTCAGTTTCATCTGCTAAGTTACCCAGTGGGTGGGGGGGGGGGGGAGAAGGGGGCGCTATGAATGAAGTCTAACAGAGTGACAGATTGGGATGAAAAGAGTAAATCTAATTGGTGGTGATTTTCAATCTAAGTGATCTACAGAGCAGTGTAGCGACCCTTCCCGGGGACAAACTTTCAAATTTTCGATTTGCACCCCCCCCCCCCCCTCAAACTTTCGATTTGCAACCCCCCCTCAAGTTTTCGATTTGCACCCCCCCCCCTCAAGTTTTTCTTTATATATTTTGCTATTTTTTGCCTTGGTGTCACCCCCCCTAAATGGTGTCACCCGGTGCGCTCCGCACCCCCCGCCCCCCCCCCCCCTCGCTACGCCCCTGCTACAGAGCACTAAAATTTCGATCTCCCCCTCAGATCGAAGAGCTGCTGGACGTGTCCTGCTGGTTGGACGCGGCGGCCCAAATCTTCTTCTCCTTCGGGTTGGCGTTTGGTGGCCTCATCGCCTTCTCCAGCTACAACCCGGTCCACAACAACATGGAGAGGGGACACCGTCATCGTGCCGCCACCAACTGGTGCACCGCCATCTTTGCTTGTGCCGTCATCTTCGCGGTCATAGGGTTCAAGGCCACGGTCATGTACAACCACTGTATTGATTAGTGAGTTCCTATTCCAAATGTTTCTTAATTTAGAATGCCCAGTTTGAAACCTCTTGGGGTATCACCTATTGCCAGTATATATATATATATATATATATATATATATATATATATATATATATATATATATATATGTATATATATATGTATATATATATATATGTATATATATATGTATATATATATGTGTATATATATATATGTGTGTATATATGTATATATATATATGTATATATATATATATATATATATGTATATATATATATATGTATATATATATATATATATGTATATATATATATATGTATATATATATATATATATATATTGTTTGTAAATCAACAAACAATATAAATATATATATATATTATTTTTTATACATACATATATATATATATATATATATATATATATATATATATATATATATATATATATATATATATATATATATATATATATATATATATATATGTTTGTAAATCTACCTTGCCTATACAAGGTTATCCTTAAAACTTAAAAGACATCAAGCTTTTCTTCAAAACGATGTTTACCTCCCTTACGTCCCTCACGCATTGTGAAAAAACCCCAGTCCCCATTAAATTGACGTCACACCTCAGCCTATAAATTTCTTTAAAACACTAGAATTTTTTTTAAACATCGATTTCTTTCTAATGTAAAATATTTACAGAACTCTGTCAACATTGAGTGTAATGATCAATTTTTTATTACAATTTAAATCAAACACCGTCTTTTAGAGGCTAAAAATGTTCGTCTCACTTTCTCACCCCCCCCCCCCACCTCCTCATCACACTAGGCTGCAAAAGAACAACCCCCCCACCCCTTCATCTCTCTCTCCCTAGGAGCAAGATATTGTTTATACGAATGATATTCAATCAGAATTAATTCTTTAGCACGGATATATATATATATATATATATATATATATATATATATATATATATATATATCAAACTCCCATAACCTGTACTCTAACTTTTGGTATTTGTTTTCAATCACTTGGCAATTAGCTTACAATGTCTGTGGAATATATTTCCATATTATGGTTAATTTAAATAAATTTTTTGTCAACAGTAATATCGGTATCCTAGGGGAGATATGCAGTAACCTAAACGTGTCTGACGTCATGTGCTATGGCCACAACAGCTCAGAGACCATAACAAACAGGGTCTACAAGGAAATGTTTGAGGATAACTTGACCGCCTTCACCAATTTTACAACCCGCCCATTTCGGGCGTGTAGTCTAGAGGATGATTTGAATAAGGTATATAATTTGGGGTGGGGTGGGAATAGATTTGAATAAGGTATTTATTTGGGGTTGGAATAGATTTGAATAAGGTATATAATTTGGGATGGGAATAGATTTGAATAAGGTATATAATTTGGGGTGGGGTGGGAATAGATTTGAATAAGGTATTTATTTGGGGTTGGAATAGATTTGAATAAGGTATATAATTTGGGGTGGGGTGTGAATAGATTTGAATAAGGTATATTATTTGGGGTTGGAATAGATTTGAATAAGGTATATAATTTGGGATAGGGTGGGAATAGATTGGAATAAGGTATATTATTTGGGGTTGGAATAGATTTGAATAAGGTATATAGTTTGGGGTGGGGTGGGAATAGATTTGAATAAGGTATTTATTTGGGGTTGGAATAGATTTGAATAAGGTATATAATTTGGGGTGGGGTGGGAATAGATTTGTATAAGGTATATTATTTGGGGTGGGACTAGATTTGTATAAAGTATATAATTAGGGGTGGGGTGGGAATAGATTTGAATAAGGTATATAATTTGGGGTGGGACTAGATTTGTATAAAGTATATAAAGTATATAATTAGGGGTGGGGTGGGAATAGATTTGAATAAGGTATATAATTTGGGGTGGGACTAGATTTGTATAAAGTATATAATTAGGGGTGGGGTGGGAATAGATTTGAATAAGGTATATAATTTGGGATGCGGCTGGAAAAGAGTAGAATAAGATATATAATTTGGGTTAGGGTAAGAATGGATTTGAATTAGGTATATAATTTGGGGTGGGGTTGGAATAGATTTGAATAAGGTATACATTTTGGGGTATGGTGAGATTATATTTGAATAAGGTATACAATTTGAGCAGGAGGGTATGATTTGAATACGTTATACAATTTGTGCACAGGATGATTTAAGAATAAGATATACAGTTAGTGTAAGGAGATGATATGAATAGGGTATACTAATTGGGCAGTTGGGGTCAGTGGCGGAACTAAAAAAAAAGGACCACCCCGCAAATTTTTTTTAGGCCCCCCTAATATATATATATATATATATATATATATATATATATATATATATATATATATATATATATATATATATATATATATATATATTTATTTATTTATTTATTTATATATATATATATATATATATATATATATATTTACAAACGCAAAATACGAACATAGGATACTCATTGTTGTCCTCTTCGGGTTTTGAAAAAAAATGTGTTTTTTTTTTTCAATTAAAACAAATAACATCAACTTGTCATGTGTGTGAGCGCATTAGTCTATTTACAAAATCAGTTTTATTTAATTTCTGCTATGAGACCTTTTCACTTTTTATACAATGTCAATTTTTAGTAAGTACTTTATAAAAAATAATAATAAGGAGAAGTAATTGTTTTTTTTATTTGTTTAGTACAAATCTACTAAAAGGATCGTATGAGCACCCCCATTGACAATTTAAAAAAGGGAAATAAGTCATGAAAGTGGTTTGAACGTTTGCTTGTCTTTGATACGTTTTATTATAGGAGAAAGAGGACTCGGCTTTCACAGTGGTTTAAAAACAAAGGGAAAAAGAATATACAAGAGCGTGGGGTGGTGTCTATAGAATTAGGATGATCCAACCGCAGCTACGGTGATCTTTTTTACAAAACAGCCATCAAGTAAAAAACGCAAGAAAATTTTTAAAAATTTAACTATAAAAAATTTATTATGGTCGGCTGTGGGCCCCTAAATATCGTGCCCCCCCCCCCCCGCATTGCGGGGTCTGGCGGCACTGTAGTTCCGCCTCTGGTTGGGGTGTGTGCTTGAAATGCGGTTTACAGTTGCAGCACGGGTGAGGCAACTGTTTGAGTTATGTTACACAATCCTGAAGTCTGAGACACAAATGAAATTTAAAAGAGATGGATTAAAACAAAACAGGACCTCTGTTTCGAATGCGCAGAACCATTTTAATATAAAAAAGTTAATTTATAACTGCGGATGTTTGTATTTTCTCCTAAGGGTCTAATAATTGTGTTTTCTATCTTAGTTAATTATCAGGCTAATTTATCTTGAACTAAAGATCAAAATCTTTCAGGGTGTTGAAGGTACCGGTCTAGCATTCATCATCTTCACGCAAGCAATCAATGAGTTTGGTCCATCTGCGCCATTTTGGTCCGTGGTGTTCTTTCTTATGCTGCTCTCCCTTGGATTGGGCAGTGAGTTTGGTACCATTGAAGGGGTGACAACTTCCCTTTATGACTTGGATATTTACCCTTGGATGAGAAAAAAATGGCTAGTTTCCGGTAGAGTTTACATATTGTTTTGTAAAACAGTAAAATAGCAAATGTACAGATATATTTACTATATATATTTTAAAGCAGTAGTTAAATTTTATGCAAATTTTAACATAAATTTTAAACAAATTTTTATTTTTATTTTAAGAAAATAATCCACCATGTTTTTATTATTCTTTTTTTTATAATAACAGTAAAATAGAAGTATAAAAGTATTATTTAAAAAATATTGCTATTTAAGAAAAGAGAATCTACCACAATAAATCATGATAAAAATTACAATCAAAACAAAATGATATATGCTCTTTATCTTTTTATTATCAATTGTTTTTTAGAAAACATGTATTTGTTTTTTAAACTGCTGACTGTCGTCCACCTGTTGTTTCCTGTGACCAGGTATGCTGTGTACAAGCATGTGCCTGGTGGGCATGCTGTTTGTCACTGGCAGCGGGTCCTACTGGGTGGCGCTCTTTGACACCTTCGCTGGAACTTTTCCTTTGATCATGGTGGCCCTGGGGGAGTGCCTGGCCGTGGGGTGGATCCTTGGCGCAAACAGGTGAGGGTGTTTTACGTGGGTGTTGTACAAGGTGGTAAACATCAAATTATTAACCCCTTGAGTTTGGTCTGGCATCACATATAAAAACAAGATCATTGACCTAACCTATATTTTACACAGTTCCACTCTATGCCATGACCATAGAGATTAAAATGTGTTTTTTTTATCTGTCAAGGTAACAAATCCCCACTTTTTCAGAGTTCCATCTATACTTCCATCTATATATATATATATATATATATATATATATATATATATATATATATATATATATATATATATATATATATATATATATATATATAAAACTATACCCTACACATACACGTGCACTTACAAATACCCATACTCATGTCAATCCATATGCACACACATACACATATACATTCACATATATTTGTGGATAAAAATATTTTTAAACCTATAATTAATACCTTATTATTATTTTCCGAATTTCATCATACAAGTGTCGATTATTTAAAAAAACAAAAACTGAATAGCCTATACTATCAACCTACTTCAGGTTTAGTGAAGAGATTGAGTGCATGATTGGCCACAAGCCCAATATCTACTGGAGGGTTGCATGGAAGTTTCTAGCACCTCTCTTTATGGTGGCACTTCTGCTGGGGACATTGATTAAGATGTTTTCCTCCCCAATAACTTACAAGGCCTACAACTCTGTCACGGTTTGTCATTTCATCTCCTGTTTCTGTTTTATAATTAGTTTATACTATTTGAGTGTGATTACTTGTTAAGTAATACTGATTATTCTTTATTTGGACATTGTCACAAATTTCACATTTGCCTAAGTTTTTTTTTAATGTTTAGAATTAAATTAAATATAATTAAAATTAAATTATTTTGCTATGTCAGAATGTCAGAAGCAGTGTTTATTTCAGAATTTTTTTATCTCGGAGGGGGGGGGGGGGGAATTTTCCAGGTGGAAGGGGGGGGGGGGCGGCGGTTGCGCACAAAAGTATATATTTTCTACATAAATTCTATTTGTTCCGGGTGTAGTAGATGTGCTTCGAGGAGCCAGTGCCCCCCCCCCATCCCCCTGAAAAGGTGCCTGAAAGAAACACTGGTCGGAAAGCTAACACAGCTTTAGAAATAATTTTTAATTTTTTATCAGTGAGAGGCATGTGTGACACAATACAGGGTAATGTGTGAACTAAACTTTTAAATACTAACATAAATATATCCAAAATCTCTTATGTGAATGTTTATTATACACATAGCTCTACACATAATCTTACTTATATAAATTGGAACTATATAAACTATATAATAACATACACATGTGTATATGAATGTATAACTTCATTATAGGCCTTATTTCCTTAAGATTTCATTTAATTTTTCTTCAAAGTAATCAATGTTTGCACTTGTTACCTAATTAAGACTATTCCTATGTAGACACTAATGGAGAAAGAGTGCTATCCCTGGTATGCCAGTGTGGCTTGTGGTGTTCTTGTGTTTGCGTCGGTCTTGTGGATACCTGGCATAGCACTGCTGAGAAAGTGCGGAGTCCTTCAGTACGACCATGCGAAGAAGCTTGCCTCAGATATCCATAGAGCTACAGTCTCCACAACAAAGTTCCTAGGTGGGAGCCAGTGGTCTGCCAGGTAGGGTTAGACATATTTTATAAAAACACCTTGACGTCACACTTGTAGGGGGAGGGGCAGAGGCCTAGCGACCCTTCCCGGCGCCCAGGGCCAAAATTTTGATTTGCACCCACCCCCCTCGAACTTTTCATTTGCACCCCCCCCCTCAAACTTTTGATTTGCACCCCCCTTCGAACTTTTCATTTGCATCCCCCCTCGAACTTTCAATTTGGCGCCCCCAATAAGGTCGGCACCCGGGGACATATGTTCCCCCCTCGCTACGCCTCTGGGGAGGGGGGTCCGTAATATTGTGGCGGTGTGTGATGGGGGGGGGGGGGGTTTCAGATGGTGTGACGTCACACTTTTGCATTATAAAATAGCAATGTTAGAAAACGGATTTTAGATATTTCATGTTTAAGAAAATTGTTCTAATAAATTGTAATAAGAATTGATTAAAGTACTCTATTTTGACAGAGTTCAGATAAGATTTTGGAAAAATATCGATGTTTAAAAAAAAATTCAAATGCAATTTTGAGGGAGGGGTTGTAGGCTAAGTTTGCTGTCATTTTAGGGGGGGGGGGGGGTCTGGCTTTTTGTGACGATGTGTGACGGAGGGGGGGGGGGGGGTAAAAATCGTCCAAAAAAGCGTGACATCATTTATGGATGACCCCTTGTGTCCGAGATGCATGCGGAAGATAAAGTAGAGTTCATCTGTTTCAATGACTGTAGCATGCAAAGGGATAATGTTGTCAGCACTATGCCAAGCCACCTTGGTTTATCTTATTTGAGTCATAAATGGGTAGACGTCCTACAGATTTGAATTTGGGATCCAAACTCAAGTACTTCGTTACAGCAATCATAGTATCTATCACCCAACCATGCTGTCTCCTTTATTTTGAAAATAAATAATCTCAAACACTACTTTTATCTTTAACTCTTACATAATGAAAATGTTTAACATTTTTTATTCATTAACATGTTATAGGCCTACATTTCTATAAAGGAATAATTATTTTCATGATTAAAAACTAAACAGAATTATATTCAAATTAAAACTAGTCTACATTATAATATTGAGACATAGAACTACCTAAATTTCAATTAATTTAGACTAATTCGCTTTCAAACTTATAACTAAAGTTTTAAATAAAAGAATCTCTGCTCTTGTAACAGGTCAGATGACAGAGATTCCGGACACAACTCCGATGAGGACACGCCCCTCAGAGAGCCAGAAAGACCAACAGAATTTTTTATTGAAGACCTGCTTGCTGTGCTACCAGCCAGACCTAAATCAAACAGAGAAAGTATTGTTTAATCTCACACTCAGCCAGATAGTATTACAGTTTATTGGGTTGGATTCTACTTTTGTTTCTGTACACACACCATTCCTAGTTTTTAAATGGCTTGACTTTGTGATGTATCTATCACAGCTCAGATGGAGTTTCTCTATGATATTGAAACAGTGATTGATGTTAGGCATTGTTAGGACAATATATAAATTATATTGCAGTTTGATGATGTATTAAAAATGCATTGACATAATGTTTTTATTTTTATTTAAAATTTAATATAAATTGATCATGTTAATTTCTTTTATTTTAGATGGGAATAGTATTCTTCTTATATTAAAAAAAAAAATTTAAATCTTCTTTTAATTTCATTTATAATATATTGGTTTTAGAAATAGATTCTAAATTGCTTTCCTTTGTTTTGTAGTGTCCTTTCAGTTTTTAAGTGTGACTGGGCAGTCTAATGTCCAGACCTACACACTAAAAATGGTTTTGTGAAACTATTTGCTACCCTAGTGGTTGCTAGTTATTTAAATTCACTAAAAAAATCTGCTTTTATTATGGATTTGAAATTTGAAAATGTATTTATTGTAATATTCTAAAAAATGGAATGTTTAACAACTGCAGTTAATTTATTATGAGCTCATTTAAAAGAAATATTTAAATAATGTAACAAATCAAAACGCAAAGCTGAATAGAAATTCATATACTGTGAAAATATGTGCAAATTCTGGCACTTCTGAATTTACACATTCACTTCTATTTAACAGCACACACACAAAAAAAAATTAAGTATTAGAGATAAAATAGGTCAAAGAAATGTTATTAATAGCTTAGATATTTTGATTAAAAAGCATTTCTCTTGTGATTATCCCAGTTAAATGACCTTAGCAATTCTACATTAAAATCAATATAAAGGTTGATGTTCCTATACATAACAGTAAAAATGTAGATTAGATTTAGTTGTGCATGCAGTGTGCAAATCTTAGATCTAACATTTAATATATATATATATATATATATATATATATATATATATATATATATATATATATATATATATATATATATATATATATATATATATATATATATATATATATATATATATATATGTGAATTATGGAAATCCACATCTTGGATGTGGGCTGACATTATCAAAATGTTTAAGTTGTGTTTGTTGTGAGTTGAGGATATCAACATTATCAATTAATTGTATTTACATACTGAATGTGAGCTGTCAAAGCTAACGAGCTAATTAAGTCATTTAACCTATAAAGACATAAGGTTTAAACTTGACCTAATGAGCCTGTGCAAATAATTTAGAGTAGAATAAAATAAAGCATTGATGCATATCTTTTATTATTTAGCCATGGCTTTTTGACATTTTTGCTGAAAATTGAGTCTCCCTATAATGGTCTTTCAGTTAGTTTGTGGGTTTTTGTTAACTCATGTGTTTTGTGGTTAGTGGGGTTTTGTGTTTTGTTGCTAGTAGGTTTTTATTTTCTGGTTAGTGATTTTTGTGTGTGCTATATTAGTGGGTTTTGGTGGCTTTTGTGTTCTGTTGAAGTGTGCATTTAATACCTAGTTAAAAAGTTTGTCCATAAATGTTAGTGGGTTTTTGTGTTCTGATGTAAGTGGGTTTTTGTGTTCTGTTGTTATTGGGGTTTTGTATTCTTTTGTTAGTTGGTTTTTGTGTTCTGATGTAAGTGGGTTTTTGTGTTCTGATGTTAGTGGGTTTTTGTGTTCTGATGTTAGTGGTTTTTTGTGTTCTGATGTAAGTGGGTTTTTGTGTTCTGATGTTAGTGGTTTTTTGTGTTCTAATGCTAGTGGTTTTTTGTGTTCTAATGCTAGTGGTTTTCTGTGTTATGTTGAAGTGTGATTAATACCATGTTGAAGGTCGTCCATAAATGATGTCATGCAATATTAGCTGTTAACCTTTGTCCAGGGGTGAGCGATGGGGGGGCGCAGGGGGGGGGACATATGTCCCCGGGCACCTACCTTAGGGTGGGCACCAAAATGGGTTGGAAAAAGTAATCGAAAGCTTGAGGGGGGTTGCAAATCGAAAGTTTGAGGGAGGGGGGTGCAAATCGAAAGTTTGTCCCCAGGCGCCGGGAAGGGTCGCTACGTCTCTGCCTTTGTCATCACCCTCATCTGAAACAACCAGCCACACCCCTCTCTAAATGACCTCGCAAACTTTCACCCACACCTCTAAAATAAACATATTATGATTTTAATCAGTTTGGTTCTCATAATTCAAAATAAAAGTGTGAAACACTTGATCCTCTAATAAGTGTGGGTCGTACATGAACTTACTTTAAGTACCAATAACTTGCTGATTTGAAAATTTATTGTAGTTGGTTTTGATTTATTTACATACGCATAAGTGAAAATATTTTACATGGTTCCTTAACAGCCATTGATAATAAATAAAGCTATGTGAAAACAGTTTTAATTTATTTAAATGGCTAATTATATATTCGTTAATAATACACAAATTTTCGGAAATATTTAAAATGGATTATATATTCATTTTTAATAAATAATTTAATTTGTAACAGTATTTTACATAGATTACATATCCATTTATAATAAATATATTTAATTTGTGAAACATTTTACATGGGTTATTTTATATCCATTTTAGATTTATTTTTTTGAGTTGTGTGCCTTACATTGAAAATAGCAGGCATTGTGCTGATGTATTGAATATTTCATGAGCTTCACAACAATAAACATTTTAAGGACATACATGTTGCGTTCTTTATTTTGTCACTTTATTTTACAAGAAAAATTTAAACCAAACACAAACATGTAAGCTAAATATCCTGTTATGTCTGTTATATTAAATTATATTGTTTAGTTAATTACACCCTTGTGTTTCTAGTGAATATTTTACTTGATTTAAATCTATATTAAATCAAACGCTAACTTAAAAAAGTAATTTGTTTAAATTAAAAAGTGTAAAAAAAAACACTGTCAATAATAAAACACAAAATATTGAATACTTTGAAATAATCCTTTAACAAATTCTGTAAAACTTTCATGTTTAAATATTTTATTTTTATTATACTAATAAAATTATTATACTAATTAAAAGTGCATTAAATATTGTAAAAAAAAATTTACTGTTCAGTTAAAAATTGTCATGTTCTGTAGCAATGTCTCAAAAAACAAGATAGTGATATAAAACACAGGGACATATATGGAGCAAAACAGGAATGGATGGGTTAGAATTACTGGAGGGGAATGTTTTGGAATTACAGATCATGCACTTTGATAGACCCACTTTGCGCTGTCACATCTTAACCAGTCAAAAGACCATGGTTTATCATGATATTAGGAGTTCTCCGCTACAGTTTGTCTTCATGCATAACAAATCATGCCGCTCACACAAACAGAAACACACCACAGCAACGTTTGCAGTTGGTTTGAATTTTATTGGTTTCATGATGATTATCAGCTGTCTTTGCCTCGAGGTAAAAAATGTGTATGTTACAATTGACAAGGTATGATGTTTCACGAAGCCATACATTTCCTGTATGTTTTGGTTTTCTGTCAGCCTCAAACCACTTCACCATTGGCTGCTGATTGGGTTCCTTGCTTGTTTCTGTTGCCAGGTTTTTCTGTGTGTATGCAGTGCCATCTACAGGGGGTATAAAAAGTTGTTATCAGAATAATAGAAGAGAAACTGCACTCGATTTATACTGTAAATTGAAACTTACAGAAACAATAGAAGAAGGCATTACAAGCTTTGATGTGACCATTTAATATAATTTTAGGAAAATTAAACTCAAATAATTAGATATGGGACACCATTTTCGAAGGGTAATATTTGGCTGTTAGTCCAAAGGTCTAGAGTTTGGATCTCAGTTCGGACTTGTGATTTAGAATGTCCTTGAGTCCACACAGCTCTAATGGGTACCCCAACTTATGATAGGGAAAGTAAAGCCATCTCAGCATAATGCTAACCACACCATACTTTCATATGTTGAGGTAAAGAAATATATGAACTCCACTTCATCTACATTTTGGATCGCTAGGTCTAAAGAGGAAACAACCTTTCCTTTAAATAATTCTATGTAAAATATGCTATAAAATATGTACAGCATAAGACACTTAAAAACTAAATAGTTAACAATGAATCATAGCAAAGCAAGTGAAATAGCAACAGGCAAGGCAAAAAAGAACAATTTCTTTATAAATCTGTAATGGTAATCAAGGAAACTGATATTTATGACAAAAATATAAAATTGATAACACATATTTCCTCAATTTTTTTTTATGATGACTAGAAATTTAAAAAAAAATTGACTGAACTAGTCAATGGATTATGAAAACTTCTGAGATAGCAGGGTGCCACAGTTGTATAAAAATTCAGGATCACATTTAATGAATTGTTTTGTTAATGTCATTTTTTGGGTACTGTTTGAGTAGACAGTCACACTAAAAGGGAGGAACTTTCTTACATGCAAAAACCAGTTACAGTTTGAGTGTTAACATCAACAAACAAATAGATGACCATCTAAGCATTGTGTTTTCACACAAATTTATGATTAAAATATTTAGTTCCAGTACTATCATGAACAATCAAAAAGACAGTCATTTATTTTTTAAAAAATCAAGCTGGGAACAATCTAGTGTCCATCTATTTCATCTTTACATTAAAAGTTAGATGAGATTACCTCTGCTATGTCAAGGATTAGATGAGATTACCTCTGCTATGTCAAGAATTAGATGAGATTACCTCTGCTATGTCAAGAATTAGATGAGATTACCTCTGTTATGTCAAGAATTAGATGAGATTACCTCTGCTATGTCAAAAATTAGATGAGATTACCTCTGCTATGTCAAGAATTAGATGAGATTACCTCTGTTATGTCAAGAATTAGATGAGATTACCTCTGCTATGTAAAGAATTAGCTGAGATTGTCTCTGCTATGTCAAGTATAAGATGAGATTACCTCTACTATGTCAAAAATTAGATGAGATTACCTCAGCTATCAACAATGAGATGAGATTACCTCAGCTATGTCAACAATGAGATGAGGTTACCTCTGCTATGTCAAGAATTAGATGAGATTACCTCTGCTTTGTAAAGAATTAGATGAGATTACCTCTGCTATGTCAAGAATTAGATGAGATTACCTCTGCTATGTCAAGTATAAGATGAGATTACCTCTGCTATGTCCACTTTTCTCTCCCAGCTTTTGACTTTCTTCTGTAGCTCGTACATCTGTGCCTTCTCTCTCACGTACTCCATAACACCAGGGACTTTAAAGTTGCTAAGCTGTTTGCGCAGTTTTTTATTGATCTGTTCAGCTTTTGTTCTCTCCTAGGATCATCAGAGATAAAACAAACTCATGAAATCAAATTCCTTTTTTTACCAATAAATTCAGTACATTGTAGAGAAAAAAATATAAAGTTAAACACAAGAATAGTAATTTAAAAAAAATAGATCTCTAAATAGAGTGGCTAATTAGCTGAGAAGAGCAGATTGTATAGAATAAGTTAAAAGAGCAATTGCAAAGTAATATCAAGTAATGTAGACTCACGACTTCCACGATAGCAGTTTCTGCTTGAATCCTGGAGTCCATCTCTTGACGGAAACTGATTTCACTTTTTAAGCGTGCTGATTCTTTAGTCAAGGTCAGCAGCTTTTTCTAGACAGTTCAAAAATGTTGACTCTTTTTAAGATGTGTTAGCTTTTTGTTGTTAAAAATTACTTTTTTTTTTATAAAAAATAAGATATGTTTGGTTTGTAAAGCAAAATTTGAATTGACTTTACAAAACTAAAACTATGAAATAAATGCATTTTTTGCAATATTTAAAAATAATGCATTTAATATAGTTAACAAAATTTTTAATTTTTTGTAATTTAAAACAATTTGGATAATTGCAGATAAATAAATATTTGCAAAATAACTTAAAATGTAAATAACCTAAGCCTACTGTGTGGTCAATGAATGGCCATATGTAGCTATATCGCATTAATTATGAAGACACATTCTGCATTCATTCAGTGAGAAAAATGGGGGAATTTTTTAGACCAGTGTCCGATAAATGAATCTTCTTAAAAAAGAGGTCTTATAGGTATTTAACTGAAATACACACATAGCTAGCTAACCCTATCCCTAACCCCCAACACTAATAAATTATTTCTAACCATAAAACTAGTCGAGATTACAATACCACTAACAACCTAACACACCTATATTTTATTGGATATTGGTATCTTCAATCATCCTAAATCTGTTTTACTGAGAGTAGGCCTGTTGTCATAATTTCAATAAAGATTAAAGTTTATTAACCACTATCCTACTCAAAAGTATTAAGTAGGCTATATAGATTATTGAAATGTATAAAATTTTCCTAGCAATCAAAATAAGAAGAAAAAAGAACCTTATATGAGTTTAGAACTTGGAGTGTGTTGCCGGCCATCAATTTTAATCTCAGTAAATCTTGATTTCTTTCATCAATTTTCTCCAAATACTGTTGGTTTTCTATCTTCAACTGGTTGAAATCCACTTCATTCAAAACTTCACCCATCTCTTCTTTCTAAACATAACAAAAAAATATTTAAAAATTATACAATTATTCATTTGTGAGAAACATAATGGTAAATATATTTGATGAACATGGTAATAAGTAACATTTCTCCTGATAAAGTAATGATACATTAAATAAAATTATTAAAATTCAAAATTTTGTTTTTATTGAAACTTACTTCATTTGTGTACCTTTTTATTTTATTAAAAAAAAAGACTTTTAATTCTCTAATTAAATTTTGCTTAAGTTATGAAAACAGGAAACAAAAATCTTTGCTTTGTCCATAGTATGTAGGATATAAAATTTAATATTAGTCATTACACCAAGCACAATATACTTATATAACGTATGTTTATATTTCTGCATTGTATAGTCAGCTTTACACTCCTTTGCTCACTTATACCTTCATATAATACATATAGACCTATATATGGTAACAGACAAGTCCTTTGTTCATATATAGACCTAAATGTGGTTATGAACCCATCCTTTGCGTACTTATGCCTGCAGATAATATATATATAGACCAACATGAGGTTATGGACCTACATCTACTTACTTGCCTGAGCTGCATCATAAGCTTCTTCTTTTGTACTTTCAGTTGAGAATTTTTCAGCCTCAGCTTTTCAATCAAAGCATCCTGTTTGAAATAATGAAATAGAAAATAAACTAATTTTAAATTAATAAAAAACATAAACATAGAATAAAAGTTTATCTAAAGAACTGAATACACTGTGTTTTGATGAAACATGTAAACCTGAGAGAACATAAGCAACGTTAAATATAGCTTAACAGTTACTTCATAAATATGGTAAATTAGAATAATTTTGTTTTTTGATAAATGAGAGTGCCTATTCGTAGTGAACTGTCAATAGCTTTCAAACTCTATTTGTAGTATGGTATTTCCAACCAATTACATAATTTTTAAATATATTGTCCTGCACATGCATGCGTATTAATATTTTGATCAGCTTGCATATTCTTCTTCCTTCTTTTGCATTCTTAATTTAATTTATGGTGGAGGATTTAAACAAGTCCAACTTCGTGTATGAACTGGGCTGTGGTCTCCAGATCCGCAGGTGCCCCATATAGTTTTTCCTTGAGTGGGGGGGTATAGGAACCAGTGTTTGTATCGCGCCTGGCTATATAAGGAAACAGTCCTGAAGAACGTGGTCTGTATTCTCCGGGGCCATGCCACATGGGCAAGTTTCGCTATATCCAGCTTAGCTTGCATATGACATTCAACTTTTTGATGTTGTGATGACTGTTGTGGTGAAGTGGTTATGCTTCAGGCAAGGCAGGTAGTTTTTAAAGTGTGGGTTTTATTCTTTTTGTCTCTGAGTTTTATTTTTTTTTCTATCTTACTTGGTAAATAATGGCTGTTTGTTAAACTACTTTTAGGGTTAAGCATAGGGTTAGTCATTAGGATTAGGCATTACGGTTAATCGAAAGAAGTTAGGCATTAGAGTTTAGAGTTAGTGATAAAGTTAGATCTAAAGACATTACACCTGCAAAATAGTACTTATTGCATAAATAATGGGATTACAGAATCACAGAAAAAATGCTTTGCTCTGATTGGTTAGTTAAAAATAGCCTTAGGAGGGGTATTCGTAATTCACCATGAATAGCCACATCCTTTTTTGTTTAGTGCTAACCATAAGCAAAAATGTAAACAAAATGTAACATACATAGCATTTTAATGCTAGAATAATTAGCAAAACAAGAACAGACTTTTAAAACCTTACCCTTGTTCTAAGCTTGTCTTCAAAGTATCTCATGCACTTCTCTGCTATAACTTTATTGGTTCTGTGGTTCACTGATCCCTTGACAATATCTCTCTCAAATTCATAGGACTCTTTCCTCATTTCAGATAGGCGCATGTCTGCTTCCTCCATAACAGCCTGGAATGGTCAAATATATATATTTTAAATAGAAAGTTCTAAAGTACTCTTATTTAAAAACTAGTGTACCCATCATGTGTGAGGCTGCTATCTCAGAAGAAAAGAAATTCAAAGACACTCGTTGTGATAACATTCAATTGCTACCATTGATGTATTTTTTGATGAGTGACATAATTTTACATCCACACCTTTCACCAGGGGCGGAACTACAGTGCCGCCAGACCCCGCAATGCGGGGGGGCCCACGCCATTTAGGGGCCCAGAGCCGACCATAATACATTTTTTTATAGTTTAAAATAGTTAAAAAAAAAGTAAATTTTCTTTCATTTTTGACTTGATGGTTGTTTTGTAAAAAATTACCGTAGCTGCGGTTGGATTATCTTTATTCTATAGACACCACCTCACGCTCTTGTATCTTCTTTTTCCCTTCGTTTTTAAACAACTTTGAAAGCTGAGTCTTTATTCTACAATTAAACTTATCAAAGATAAGCAAATGTTCAAACCATGACTTATTTCCCTTTTTTTAAAAATAGTCAAATAGGGGTGATCATAAGCTCCTTTTAATAGATTTGTACTAAACAAATTAAAAAGCAATTACTTCTCTAAATTATTATTTTTTGTAAGTAATTACTAAAGAATGATATTATATAAAAAGGAAATGTATTGAAATGTATTAAATCAATAATATTTAAAACATTAATAATATAATTACAAAAAAAAACTTAAAAATAAACATAACATAAGACACCATTACTTATACAAAGCTTTCATGTTTTATATTATTTTGACCAAAAATTTCGACGAGGGCTTCTATTAAAAATTAATTAACACTGGTTTTTCACAAAACACGCTAATGCACTTACACACATGACATGATGTTGAAAAATCTTTTAATTGATGTTTTTTTCAAATTTCGAACAGGACAGCAACGAGTATCCTATGTTCGTATTATGTTATTGTATATGAATATATATATATATATATATATATATATATATATATATATATATATATATATATATATATATATATATATATATATATATATATATAGGGGGGGCCTAAAAAATTTTTTTGCGGGGTGGCCCTTTTTTTCTAGTTCCGCCACTGCCTTTCACTATTGTTGTAATAAAAGATGTATATTGCACTAGAAAAAAAAAACAAATCCCAGACCTTCAGTGCACATTAAATCACTTTCAGTATGGGTGAAGTAAAACACTCCTTGGCAACCGCCATGGTTGTTTGGAGGCATTCTGGGCAGCTACAGGTTATACTACAGCAGGGCATTAACCCTGGTTCAGTTTGATCATGGAATGTAGTAGCCAGATGTGTCTGGTGTATGATGCTTGTTAAAATGAATAAAGACACCATAGTGCAACCCGGGTCAACTGACTGCCGATGTTGTAGACTGATAAAGGTGTAGTAATGCATATAAGACAGACACAGAGACAGACATACTTAAATTTATATGTATAGAAATTGATAGAAATTTCCTAAAGCACTGTTTTTTTTAAATAGCAACCTTTCCCACAGCCCTATTATCTGAAAATAGAAACTTGCCTTTAGAGTGTCCATGACCTTCTCAGATTCTTCTTTCATTTTATCAATGTCGTCCCGCAATTCTTCAAGCTCACGCTGTGCAATATCACATTTCTGTTCAGCGTTCAATTTTAAAGATTTATCTCCCTGACTCAGTCGAATCTTGGTTCGCATCCTATGTGCAAGGCTTTTATCCACATGCAGTGATCCCGCTCCGGGGTGTTGTAGTGGCTGTATGCTCCCAGAGTCTCTCGGTTCAATGCGATGGAGGTATTTCTCAAACATTTGTGTTTCTGTGGACAGTACCTCATTCGATCGTCTGCAGGATGATTCGGTGTCAGAAAAGAAATAAAATTAATATAGAAAAACAAATGATTAATTATTCAAGGGCAATAGTAGGTTTTGTGTAGTGAAGTTACAAAAAAAAATACCTAACTTAGATGTATGACTAATGGAAAAATACCATGAGACCCACCACACCTCAACACTTCTTCCTTTAATGAGTTCACCAATTAGTACACAAAATAATTAATTAAAATGTTTAGCTGGCTTATAAAGTGTCTTAATTATCTAAAACCTTGACTAATTGTATGTGTTTGATAAAAGCCAGGATTTTAAACATGATGGAGAACTGGCTTGGTCGGGTGGGTTAGTCTCATGGTTGCTGAACTGGAAAGTCTAGAGTTTTTTAACTCTGCGCAGATCAGGCTCAAAAGCTGGCAACAGCCACTCATTATGGAGAGGAAACTCCAAAATCAAAGAACTGCCTTGTAGTTTGTTCTTGACTGGACAAAGACTATGGAACCAAACCAAAAAAGAAAAGCAGGCTGAATCCAGAGTCAATGGCCTAAGTTGACACTTAATACTTGATTGTGCTGGAGGGAATCTCTTCCAAAAATTAAGAATGAAGAAGAAGAAGAAACAAGCTGAAAACTATGCTGGAACTGCTGCATTTTTCTTGTCCCTAAGTGAAAAAGGTAAAGAAAACACATGTAGGAAAAAAGCAGCAGGCTGTACCAGCTCATCTGACACATAACATGTAGGTATGCACAATTTAATAATGTTGGACAATATGCCAGGACCAATGAGAATCTTTAGACTAAAACAAGGCACAATAGGATGAGGCAACACATTCCAGAAAATAAAAATTGGTGCCAGTGACACATACCCTTTTGGTATGACTTCAGAAAAGGCCAAACCTGTTCTACAAGACAGATACCAACAGAAAATCTAGACCCTAGTCCTTGAACACCCCCTCCTCCCCCAAGAGAAAATTACATGGGAAGCTTGCTGATTTGGAGACCACTGGCATTTTGTCTATAATATTGACCATGCTGTTTAGTCCCCTCTAATGTTTTTTATGAATGAAGAACCAGACAAAATTATTTGTACCTCATAAAATTCAAATATATAGTAAACTATTTGGATGTAACATTTGATTTTTAGACACAAAGAGTTCACTGTTTCTGTGACCTCAGCACATGATAGGGATAAGGTGGTTGGATCTATGCTCAGCCACCTACACTTTCTTTAATATGAGTGATGTACTTATTGGAATTGGAATGTTTCAGGGAACAAAACTGTACACCTTCAGATTAGCAGTTGTGCACGCTATCACCCTGCCATGCCATTCTATTCAGCATACATCAACAGCAATTATGTGTGTGACTAAAACTATCAACTAAAGGTTGAAGCAAATGTCTTGAATAAAATATTGGATACTGCAATCAAATAATTTAGAAATTTATAATCTGTATAAAAGATTACTATTTTCACCAACTGAAGGCCTAATATTATGCACACATAAATTCAAAACTTTATTTAATCTAACAGACTGTCATTAAAAAAAAACTATGCTTTGCTAAAAATTTAAAATAATCCATCAAATCTTTAACAAATATTGTCAATAACATAACATATAAGGTGCATTTAATGTTTTGTGAATTCATTTTATAATTAGAACTATAGCTTAACTTACTAACAAAATTTAATTCCATATTTCAATAGATTGCATTTTTATCTAGAAAGGTAAAGAATAGTTGACTAGAGCTAGATATAGATCTATATTATTTAGAAAATCTAGTAATATTTAGAATCTAGGGCTTACACTGTTACAGTATTAGATTCAGACTTTGATATTAAAATAAAAACAAAACAAAAACTATTGATGTTTGAAAGAACACTTCTGCTGTTTTAACATAGATTCAAGATCTATTATCTATCTTAGCAGTTATAATTGTTAGATTCAAATAGTTAATATATTCTTTTCTAGATTAATCTAGTCTAGATCTAGATCTACCAGCAGATGACAGACGTTGTTGTCGTTGCAGGTAGAAGTAGGTCTAAAATAAGGTATACATTAAAATGTTATTAAGGAACAATAAGAAGATAATACTCTAAGTTTATTAAAATATATTACATGGCATCATCAATAAGTTTTTTAAGTTCGTCATCACTAATATCCTGAAAAGGATCTTCTTCAGACATAACGCTGATTGTTTCTGTGTTCTCCATCTTGTCTCTTTGATCTGTTGCGAGGTAACGTCACAATTCAAAACCTTAACGTATTTATATTGAATTAATATGAGTACGTACTATAAACAAACTGAAAATTTATTGTTATAATTTATAAAATAATACTAATTTTATTGAATAATTTAATTTAATTTAAATTATTCATTTTTATTTGTGCAAAAAGAAGCTTTGCGATTGAATAAAACTGTCGCTGTACTTATATTTTTTATATGATCGAACTGGTATCGAAGTATTAAGTATCGATTACAATATATAAGAGTACTTAAATGGTAACTTACTAATTGTACTAAAACATTAGAACTGATATATATATATTATTTAAAATATACATAAAATAGTATTAATTACAAATAATCTATTAAATGAAAAACAATTAAATTAGGAATTCGACTATTACATTTTGTTATATTTTTCTGTTAGGATCTAGATCAATTTCAATTCTAACGCGATACGATACTTAAACGCCCACAATTTGCAGCTGCTAGCAGACGAAGTATTTCTTAGCAGACGGATGATGGTCACTCAAGCATTTGCTGTGTATTTTTGGAGTGTTACCTCACAATATTGTCTGAAATGGTGAAACTAGATATATTTTTTCACATTTTCTTAGTTTCATTTTAATTTAGACTAGATCTAGATAGATCTAGATCTATCTAGATTTAGTAATTTCTCTAGATCTAGTCTAGCTAAATCTAAATAAATACTAGTCGATCTCCTTACCAAAACCGGAAGTCAGAACCTGACCCTGAAACGTCATGCTCTTTTAGTTTTCGCATTTTTAGTGTTTTTGGGGGGTCCTATATACAAAAAATGAAAAAACTGCTAATCTAGCAATATCTCATCACTATTTTAATGCGAAATGCTAAGGAAATGGATACTATGGCTAAAATGCCAGAAACATTTGCGAGATATGTAGTAATAATTAATACAAGCATTTCTTATGGAGCACTCTCATTAGGAACTGAACTGCAACGAAAAACGACCGACCTCCGGGCATCAGCGCTCGACAGCTCCTAGATAAATATATATTTGAGATATTTACCATGATTAATTACAATGATGCTGCTTCCCTTCAACCAAAATCCAATTCCCCATAGAAATACCATGCCGCTGCTATTTTTAGCAACGTTACGCCATTGTTACGCTAGTTGTCAGATAGAAACAACTAATTTTTGTTTTTTGCGGAATGCACTGTTAAGTCTAGTATTTTAATTATAATTCAGTTTTAGCATGTGCAGAAATTGTGGGCATTATTATTGTATTAAAGTATTAGTAATTTTATAAGTATATTGATTTTTTTTCTTCACTGCAAGCCAAGTAGGCCGACTGCACTGTTAGTTTCATTGAACATAATTCGTGACCGGTCATTAACCTTGTTAATATTAATACTTCGTGGCCTACCCGACTGTATAATTTATATGAAATTATATGTAGTTTTTAATTAGGCCTTAGTATTGTATTTTAAACAATGCTCATTCCGAGCCTTTTTGTGCTAGATCTAATTAGGCCTACTGGCAATTTTTTTTATTTTTAGACTTGGTCAACCTCGTTAATGCTGTTGTGTTAGTTAAAAATATAGGAATTGTGTGTAAAATTTACGCAGTTACTCAGTTACTACGTAGAATGACATCAATAAATGAAGTAGTAATTATTTCCTTTTAGTTTTAGAAATCTTTTGATACAAAATGTCTAATATTTTATTTTCCAATGCATCGTGGTGTGTGGCAGAGTAAACAGAACGGTGCGGTAGGTGACCTAGAATCTCCGAGTTCGAATCCGACGTAAATCAGTTGTGCTTTATTTTATTGTTTCACATGGGAAATGCCACGAGCGGTTTTATTTTCTTTCTTTTTCAAAAAAAAATTTTTTGAACGAAATAATATTTTAAAAAATAATTATTCAAAATTTTCCAAACATCGTCGCTCGCATCGCTCGCGAGATCGACTGCTTACATTTTCTTGTCTGCGGGAGAAAAATGTTGACACGGTCGAGGGTTCACCGTGAGTTCAGCAGGCCTACCATACATACGTCACAGCATTAACTATTGCTGTTAGAGATCGTCGGTGGGCAATCCCACCCCTCCCCTCATAAACCAAGCAAATTGTAAATCAACTTAGGGTCATTTTAAGTTCACGCAAGCTTACAGGACTGTAGATTTACTACGCATAGCTGGTAAAAAAAAAAAAAAAAAAAAAGAAAACTTCGCCTAACCTAATGCTACTACAGAAGAGAATACTAATTATAGAGTATTTAATTTGAAAGTTAAAAAAAAGTTCATTTATCATCTTACCTAATAATACTGTATTGTCGTTACAGTTAGAAGGACTAGATCTAGATTTCTGTCAGATCTATTTTTAGTTTTGGATATTAATTTTATTGTCATCTTCATGGGTATTGATTGTTCAATTCATCATGGAATGCCTAATGTCTTAAATTGTACATTGTACATAGAATTTATAATAAATATGTCTGATATTTCCTTAATAAACATAATGAATATAAAGTTTTATTTCTAACAAAATGTTTTGGTTTTTTTTGGTAACTAAAATACCCAATGTTGTCGTAATTGCTATGACATCATGCTACGAATGGAAAACACAAACCAACGTAACTTTTTGATATCTTTTGATGGCGAAAAAGAGTTTCGCATTTTAAGATGTTAATAGGTCATTTTGTTTTTGTTTGTTTTCTCGGCCCCTAATTAAGCTAGACCATTAAATTTGGTCTCAAATTAACCAGTAAGTGATATGGTTTGTAATGATATATGATAAGTGACAGAAAATTTTAATTAAAAAATTGTAATAAGACAACCTAATAAATACTAAAAAAAATTATAGATCAAGATCTAGATTCTAGAATCTAGTCTAGATAGATCTAGATCTAGATCTAGATCTAATCTAGATTCTAGCTAGATTCTAGATTAATCTCTTAATCTAGATCTAGTCATTCTTGTGATAGTATTAATTAATAAATCTATTAATAACTATTAGATCCTTTAACCTTTAGGCCTAGCTATCTATAATCTATCTAGCATTTGTGATAGTAGATCTAAGTCTATATTATTTAGCCTACGTGAACTTAAAAAAAAATTCAATTTGCTTGAGGGGGAGGGGGCTGGGAGGAAGAGAGAAGTGAAGACAGGCGATCTCGTGTGAACGTCTATGACGTATGCTTTAGGCCTGCTGAACTCACAGTGACCTCGACGACCGTGGGCCGTGGTGGGATTTTCCACTCATGCGATAGTAAACATAAGGCAAGCAATCACGACAGTGACGATGATGTTTGGAAATTTTATTTAAAAGAAAAAAATCATAGTCTACGTCATATTTTCAATATGAAAAAATATTTTAAAAAAAAGAACTAGTTCCTGGCCGAGCTAACCCCGGGTTCGAACTCTGAACTCCTGGTCTATGATGAACTTCAGACTACAGCTGGCACACTGTTGAGAGTTGACTCAAGCACAGCGGATGTGACATAATAGTTAAAAGAAAGCATTTTCAATTTCAAGATGGCAAATCAAACCTGCGAGACGCGTAGTCACTTCGTAGATCTAAATAGTATTGGAGAATAGATTCTAGGTATAGAATCTAGATCTAGATTTCCTTGATCTAGCTAGAATCTAGACTAGAAAGATGTCTATTTATTCTAGATCAGGGGTCTCCAAACTACGGCCCGCGGGCTGTATGCGGCCCGCAAAGTCCTCTCATCCGGCCCGCGGAGATCTTTTTGTCCAAGGAAAAATTGTTTGTTGGTGATGATGAGGAACTTTGCGCAGAAAAATCAAAGACATGCATGGAAGAAACTGGTCCCCGAACTGAAATTTAATAGTTAATGCGGCCCTCGGACTGAAAAGTTTGGAGACCCCTGATCTAGATCTATCTATATTCCCTTATTGTGGCATAGATCTAGATCTAGTGACTACTTGGAGAAAGATTTATCGGTAGAAGAACAAAACTCAATAGATCTAGCTCTGCGCTAGGGTTAGGGATAGGGTTAATGTTTTGCGTTTTGTTTGTAAACACACGCATGCTCAGTACCATAAAAAACATCGCTGCAAATGAAGGTGGAAGTTTCTCTCCATTGCGCATGCTTATCTTTTTCCTGCTAGAATTTGTCTAAAAAAATAATTAGTTCAATGTTTTTTTTTTAAACACTGAAATTTTATTGCTATACATGTCCAGAATAATAACCAATGCAATAGGCCTACTGGGGATTACCTTGAGTAGAGCCTAGAACCCTGCCTTGATCTAGAATAATCTATGTTTTAAATTAAATCTAGCACTAAATCTATAATTAAGTATTAACCTATTATCCCAAAGAGTGTAATAGAGTAGAGCTAGAAATCTAGATCTATCATCATTTGACTCAAAATTTTAGTCACTAATATTATGAAAACATTTGTGTTTACAATTCTAATTTTAACCAAGAAATAATAATGAAGTGTCTATTCTTAGCCGACTGGGAATTGCCGTATTAAGGCTATTTACAGTCGTGACTGTTTTTTATACATTTTGTATTAAAAAGGCCCTTATGCATGAAGCTATGTGATTGATCGGATATATGTGTGGCTGTTATGCCGTATGTTGTGGGTTTTAACCCATCAAATGTCTTCAAACCTTTGGCATTCACGGGTTTCATATAATCCAATTCTTATTTAAATCTTTTGATTAATGTTTTTTTACTTTAGAAAAATTTAGAAAAAGATATATTTTATATCAACATAAGTTATTGACAAATTTAAATCATTTCTTTTTTTGACTAGGTTGTTGTTCCTACTCCTGATTTGTCATCATTAAGTCTGGTAAATAAGTTTTCTGATGCTGAGAACATGTCTCACTGGATGCACTGTAATGGATGCTATTGCCAACCAGAACCAGGGGTTGAATTAAGATTCTTTTTAACAAACTGCAGTCACATTTATTGTGAAAAATGTGTCTCTGCATGTAAGTAGCTTCTATATAAAGAATTATGCGCATTACATTATGCCTACATGGTTTTCCTACATTCATATCCTGATAATATGTAACAAACATTAGTGACCTTCATAGACCAACTAAAAATACTTAAATGATTTTCATAATGACACCAAAGTAGCTGTAGCAACTCAAAGGTTAGATTTTAAATTGAAATATAAGAAATAAAAAGATTTGGGGCATCCATAATGTCATAAAATTTAACCAACGTCTACCTCCTTACCCTATTATCACAAATTTTGACCCCACTCCATGAAATGGCCATGATTGTATTAATGATGAACAATATGTTAATTGGTAGGAAAAATGTATTTTCACATTTTCTTACCACCCCCTCCCACACAGCACATGATCTCAAAAGGTTTCGCCCTCCTCTTCCGCTAACCATGTAATGTTATCAACTTCTTAGATGTTAATTAGAAATATAAGTTTTTAACTTTGTTTATTTTTTAAGAATAATTATTTTTTGTTAGAAAATCATTTATTTAATAGATTTTAGTATTCTAAATCATGAAGCTATTGTTATAGTAAATTTTAAACTGAAGTAATGTTAAACATTAATGCACCTTAACAATATTTTTTGGTGTAGGCACAAAAGAAAAATGTAAAGTTTGTAGATCACAATGCAACACTTTACTACTTGGTGGAAAGGTAATTTTTTAATTACATGTTAGATGAAAAATTATCACTTAAAAAACAGATAATTTGTTGTATAAATAAATTTCTTTACATCATTTATAACATTCAAATGTATATAAACATTTTATCAGATTTTACTACTGCCATAATTTAAGTTGGGAAAAGTTATTACTTTCTATATACTTGTATTTACAGATACAGAAAGAAGTTGAAAACTTGTTTGCTGATCCAATTGATCTGCACCAGAAATTCACAAAGCAATTTTATCAAGTATGATTTTAAAAATTATTCTCAATTTCAAATTTTTATTAATACGTTTAAAGTTGTGTCAAGTTGTAGAATTTTTTAGCATTTATGACTATTAAGATGGTTACTGCATCATTCTATTTGTGTTCCATACTGGTTTTCTGTTACGTCTGGCCTCGTCTCAATTATTGCTGCAAAATGTTAACTAGGGAATAAGTCCCAGACAACAACTTTCTAAGCATCATTTATTTGGGTCTAGTGCAACAACTGATTATTGCAGTTGTGATTTCCAGAATTTGCTCAGCAGGTTTTCTCACCGTTTGTCTTTTCACTATTTAGGAATATTAGATGAATTGTAAGCTTTCTGTGTATGGCCAAACTATATGAGTTTTCTTTATATAATGTAATAATTAGCTTTTCATTGTCAATAGACTAAATAGAAAGTGTAACTTAGAACAATTCATTGTAAATTTTTAAATTTATACTAAATATATTTTCAGACTCTTGAATTCCAAAAGAGTCACCAGAGAAGGCTTGTAAGACAGCTTAGAGAAAAGGTAATTATAAAATTGTTCATATGCTATTCACTTTTAGATAGTATATATATATTTCTAAGTGTAGAAAAATTATGCCTAAAGTAGAGTAGACACATTCACTATCACTAATTCACTACTACCGAACAAATGTTGGTGTGCTGTTTGTTGTTATTGGCTATGGTATGTAAGAATAACTTGTAGATTACAAGTCTATCCCTTATTAATTATTACTGCACCTTCCCTTCTAACAGTTAAAAATTCTGGGATCTCAAATAAATGAAGTGAAAAATGTTATAGCTCAAGCACAAACTATAGAGAGGTATGTACACTTTATAACCCTGTTATTTTAGAAGCTCAGGTATCTGGTAGACTCTAATTATCTCTTTATGAAATTAACAGCTTATTGATCTTATTTACTTATTTTTGTTATGCTCAGTCACAGCACATAGTTATGCTTTAATTTTCTGTATATTTTTGTTATGTCTTGAAAACCTTTTCCCTGTGTAATTAATATACTTTTTTAAACAGAGAATCCATGAAGTTAAAATCTGAAAATGAGTATCTCAAACTTCTCTTATCTAAACGGGTAATTGTTTTATTATGTATATTGCGTTTTAAAAAAATTTATCTATAGGATACACTTTGGAAGTAAACATTTAATCAGCAACTCAATATTTTTATAATAGTCTTTTTAAAAAATAATTTTGTTATGAATACATTATTATAAATGTTTTATTTTTTTTTTCAGGATTCTCACCCAAGGTAAAGATTTGTCAGTTATTTTTATTTTAAAAAGAAACATTTAAAAGAAACTTACTTTTGATTTGATTGATGCCTTAATTCTATTACATTACACTGTACATGCATTTACAAATTTTTTGTTTAAATGCATACAGTGTCTTTAATTTTCAGAAGTAAAAGTGGTGCTTCTCCTGTAGCATTTTCAGGTTTGTTTACTGTTTATAGTTTGTTATTTAAATTAAAATCTTAAATTTAACAATATCTTATAGGCAAGCTTATTTATAAAACATCATTTTCAACCTCTCCTTTGAATACTTTGATGTTTATTTTACTTACACAACTTTATATTGTAAGATATCCCATAGGCAAGAGTATTCTTAACACATTATTTTAAGTCTCTCCCTTACTGTTATAATATTTTGTTTACAAATTTTTATATTTTAAAATATCTCATTGGTAAATCTATTCTGATAAAATTATTTTCAGCCTCGCCCAATAGATCACCATTTGGAAGCACACAGTAAGTTAATCTATCATCATCTCATTATCTTTTCCTTTATGTGCCCAAGACACATGTGTCCACCACAGAACTGAGAAAGCTCCCTCCACTTTTGTTGGTCACAGGCAGTTTTCCTGGCAGTTCCCCATGACAGCCTTGCCTCTGCTAGCTGCTTCCCTGCAATCCTACAATGTCTTCTGGATTCATTCTGAGGATGTGCCACATCTATTGCCATCTTCTTTTTTAATTTATTTGGAAACTGTTTCCATTTCTATCTCTCCTAGTAATTTATCATTTCGGATGGTGTAAGGCCAGTGTATGCTTTTTATCCTTCACAAGCACTTAGTTTGGAAAGAGTCCAGAGATCTGCTGGTGGCAGTTGTTACTTTCCAGCACTCACTGTCATACAGTAGGGCTCTAAGGATATTACTTTTGAAAAGTCTGCATTTGGTCTTAGAGGAGATTTTCTTCTATCCCCATGTTTTTGCCTGGTTGCAAATGTTTGTCTGGTTTTAGAGATACGTGTTTTAGCAGTCACCTTCATAATTGACAATGCTGCCTAAATATGTGAAATCTTTTACTTCCTCTACTTGTGTGTTGTTTATTTTAATAGGTTCTTGACTAGATGTATTTTTCTTATTAATAACTTTGTTTTTGTTAATGTTTAGTTTGAGCTCATATCCATTTTGCAAAATAAATAAGTTTATTTAGTTTTTCTTGCATATCTTTTTGACTGCTGGCTGGCAGAGTTATGTCATCTGCAAAATCCTGGTTTTCTAGGCTGGTTATTAGTGTTCACCTGAGCCACTTACTTTGTCTATAGTTTGTGTCATCAGCCAATCATTACTAAGTAAAAAAACAGTGGGGACAGAACACACCCTTGTTTGACTCCAGTCTGAACCATAAATGGGTCTGTGATATGGCTACCACATATAACTTTGCATTGGAACCCTTCATATACGATTTTGACTGCATTTATGATTTGTTCTGGAAAACAATGCCATTGTAAAATTTTCCAGAGGTTGTTTCTGTCTAGGCTATCAAAAGCCTGTTCAATATCAATGAATAGTGGACAGAGGGGGCTTTTCCATTTATTGTTTTGTTCTAATACTTTTAATCTATAGTTAAAGATAAAATAGATGCTTTATCTTTGTAGTTTTAATATATATATATAGACATAAAATTCTTAAACTTTTGTGTTTTCAGCAGTTTTGGTTCGAGTAATTCAAGAAATGTAAGTGGGTTCTTTCAAATCAGTTATGGATAATATCTAATTATTTAAATTTGTTTAAAAATATTTCAAATACTTGAATTTGATTTTTTACTTAAAACTTATATTTTTATCAGTTAATTGAGCTTTTGAGATATTGTGTATTCACTATTTTTACTTAAAATTATTTATCAATATTAACAATTTTTTCCCAGTATGGAATATCATCAAATATACTCAATCAACCAGGCAGACTTCTAATGAGGACACCACCCTCTGGTGGTCATGCTGGTGAGTCAATCTGTGCCAATTTCATTGTATCATTTTATATTTTTGACTAATTTTTAACACTTACTATTAATATTTACTTAACACAGGTAGTACTTAGCTATTCTTTGTAGTATCTTTAACTTTATCTGAAACTTAATCCAAACTAAAGCCTGACATTAATGATTACAGTGATCTGAACTACTGAAAAACCCACATACAGTTCTGTATTGCCACATCACAACATCATTGCCATTCGTAACAGCTCTTAAAAAATATTTTTTCTTTCTTTCCAATAAAGGTACTGTTGGAGGAATGCACTTTACACCTACTGGATTAGATAGGAAGGGATCTTCTATAACACCCCTGTAAGTAGCTTTTTTTTCTAATTGTACAAATTAACATAATGTATACATAATTTGTCGTAAACATGTACATAACATATGTTTTTAATTATCTTTTGTTTCATTTAATAAGGCTACTTTTTGTTCTTTCTTAGATCTATTCCAAGACCAATTGTTTTCCCAAAAGATGCTTGAACAAGACCAATGTTACGTTTTTTATACAACTGTCACCCTCTGATGTGTTATATTATAAATATGTTCTAACAGTTTAATTATCTCTTATGTTTGTTGTTATCTTTGCAATGTACTTTATTGATAAATGCTGCATATTAAGTTATGCACAAATGATAAAAGCTATTTCTGTGATCTTAAATCTTTTTCTCATTGTGAAGTTATTTAATGTTAAACAACATAAAGTTCTTCACTGAGATAAAAGTGAAGTTTAGGCATTTGGTTAATTTAAAATGTTCAACTTTTTCAATTGTCATAAACATGAATTGTAACATATTTTTTGTGTATTAAATGTTTTGTTATTTCTGAATTAAATTATAAAGTAATCTTAAGTATTTGTTTTTTTATGCTGTTATCATGTAGGACCATAATTTTTTACTCTTTGCAATAACATTTATATTTAGTATAATTTCATTCATATAAAATATAACTTTACCTAGTAAAAGACGTTTTGGTAACTGTAATAGAAAAAGTGAATAAAGTCGTGTTTATCGAACTCCAAATTGGATTGTGTAGCCAGTACTTTGCTCATTTGATCTCTGTCCAAAAAACTTAGGTCACTTACACAATATGGTAGGTAGCCTACATCCTACAGATTAATACTAAAGCTACGATTATGCGTTCAGTCAATATGAGTATTAGTATTATGAGCTTTCAGTACTTTCACTTTGATTTCCAAGTCTGGCTAGTTAATATAGGTAGTGGCACTGTTTGAAAACGGTATTTCAATTGACATTCTTTTTTCCAAGTCTTTCAGAATTAAAGCAATGCAGAATAGACAATATTATTAATAACATGAATTACGGTTCTCGACTTAGAGAAATGAATAAAAGTTAAAGGGAGGCCAAAGGGAATAACTATTGTTTAACAAAATTTAATGGTTGTTTCCCTTACATCGCAAAATATTTAAACTAAATTATCTTACATTAATTCTCAATGGATTTAAAAGAAAATAAAAATAGTGATTTGACAGAGTGAGATATATTATTAAATTAACGTAAAAAACTAATTTTAAAATTTGATTTTGGTAATCTCACGAATAGTCCATTTATATTTATAACTAGCCATAATTGGCTAATTATCTGTTAATTTTTATAAATGTGGTCTAGTTGTTTTCACATCTAAATTTCATGTCTAATGCATTCTTTGATTAATCATTTCTTTTCTACTGCTGTTCAGATAAAATGTAGACCACTCATGGCGTTATAGACTGATGTGCTATTTATTTTAAATCTTATGAGGGCGAGGAGGGGGAATCAGATACCGCTGTAAGAATATTTGAAAAAGTTTGTTCACGTTATTTATAGCCAGAACTTATTTCATAATGCTTTATTAACAAACGACGCTATTTTAAAACAAACTTGCACATCACTTGTCACCACAGCTAAACTCCACCGCTCCTCTGTATATTTTTGTCGAGGTTCTCAACCAAGAGAGGGGCATAACAAAATAGTAATTTTTTTTTTTTACTTTCCTAGTTGGCTGTTGGTTCAAATCTTTTTTTTTTTTTTAAATACGTTATCAATTTTAATTTATAATTTACTTGCATTGCTAGAATGTCTTACAGACTTTTAAAACTGTTTTTTTTAAAAGGTCATACAAGAGTTATCATATCTTACCCTCAGTCTTACCCGCAAAAACATCTGTTGTTTTTGTTAGCGTGGATTTGCCTGTTTTGTTAAATGTGCGATCATTGTGTGTTTGTTTTAGTCCCGAGGTCCCCTGTCTTCGTCTACCTGGGGCCCCTGTCTTCGTCTAATGCTTGTTTTACCACTAGTCAAAACTGAGCAGGCTCTACATTTACCAAGACGCTACTGTCAGTAGTGTCAGACTGATTCGCGAGTCACGGAAGTGTTAAAAAACTGTATCCTGTAAGTTAGGAGATGTTTACTTTTCAGCTTTACCTTATTCAAACACCTAAGCAGTAGATTTCTAGAAGTTTTGTGAAAAAGAAAAAAACTGATTTCTGACATATTTATATTGTTAAAAGTATAAACCCAGCTACTGCTGACTTAGTCCGTTCTGTTTATAACGAGGAAACCGGAGCTTCTGTTGTTGAGTAGGTCAGGCTGACATGTCTTTGTCCGTAATTGCTTTGATCTAACGTGTATACTTTTAAGCGCCCGCTGTAACCCGACCCATTTATGTCACGAAGTCACACTAAAAATAAACTTTTGACGTTCCCTGGATGACCCCAACATTAACAACTTTAGCTAACCCACCCCACCCACCTTTAAAAATCCCGTTTACCCCCTCTCCATCTCGACAAGAACTCTCAAACCCTCTCTTAAAACACCCACCAAAAATAAACCTTGCCATAAGCAGCCTGAAATACACCCCCCCCACCACCATTCACCCAAAACTCCTCCCTCCTCTCCAGAGTTTCTTCCAGGCATCTCTTTGCTCCCCCCCCCCCCCCGAGAAAAATCTACCGCCCCCCCCCCCCCCGAACGAAATGAAATTTATATAATTTATATAGAAAATATATACTTTTAACAGTGTCCGCCCCCGAAGATAATCTACCCGCCCCGCCCCGCCCCCCCCCCCCCGAAAATTTCAAGTGCCCCCCCCCCCCCGGAGAAAAAAGTCTGTAAGAAACACTGCTCCTTTCTCCTCCCACACCCACCCACCGCAACAAAAATCTTCTGACAAAAACCTTTTTAGACTAAAACCCCGCGAGCTAAAAAAAATATGACTTAGTCCGTGGTCATCTTGACCGGCTGAACTACCCAAGAAGTTATCCTATCTGGCAGGGTTCCAGACGTCTTAAGCCTCCCTAAGCCAGAGTGGAACCAACACGAAATCTCGGGTGGACCCGGGTTTAAGCAGGCCAGCGTGGGTCAAGTCAAGGATAAACCGAGAAGACAGAACGATTATCATCGGCATGAATTAACACAAATTATGGCCATTTGTTTTCGTGGCGCGAGGATCCTAGCTGCGCCCCCGTGTTGGTTGGCTATCACCGTAAACAAAAAAAAAAAAAAAAAAAAAAAAAAATTGTAACTGTTGATGTCAAAATAACAGGGGTGCCATAAGTGTGAGTGGCATTTCTTGTTAGTCAAGAAACCAGACGTTTTCTAAAGGGTCGCCCGTTTTTTGTCTGTTGTTTAATTATAGAAATTGTCTTCTCTTACACGGTGGTGGTGTTTCCTTCAAGCTGACAATTTCAAGAATTGCTTTGTTGATCTCAAGAAAGTGTTGTTTTTTTTTTGTTTTGGCTTCGATAGTTTTTTTTTTTTTTTTGGCTCAGAGAATTTTAGAAAAAATAAAATTTGACTGAAGTTTTTCGTAGGCGACGTTCGTAATGAACATTGAGTTAGTGTTGAAACTTGCGAGAATAGTAGGCGCAGTGTTAACATTTGTAGGAGAGAATAACAAGTGTTGTGTCTAGCAACAATAGCCACGGCAGTTGGTGCAGAGTTACAGGCTAGGCCTGAGGGTCTGAAGATGTTTTTTATTAGATTACCAATCTATGTTAATTTTTTAAACGTATTAATCGTTATTTTACCCTTTCTAACTTGGCAGTTTATGGACAGGTAAAGTAGAGTTTCAGTCGCCTCTATTGAGCCAGGTACTCATTATAGCTTAGTGGACTCAAGGACGTTCTACGGACTCAACCCTAGGATTTGAACTTGGAACTTTCTAATTAGCAATCTTACGCTCTATCATCCAACCACATCGTTCCATGTTCCTTACATTTGTAAAGATGACAAAAGTACGACTTACGTCATGTCTATTTTGGGCAGCTAAGAACCCTATTATCAGATCCTATTGGTCTGCTTATGTTAATGTCCTGTTTTTTATGCCTCAATTTATTGCCTTAATTTGGCCACACAAAATAGGAGTCGTATTATTCTTTGAGGGTTGTTGGGTCTAAGGCTGCTACAATTTGAAGATGTCAAATGAGCATTAAAAGCATAAATACATATTTTTAAAAGAATTTTGAGAAAAAAAAATGGCAAGCTGAACTAAAATTTTGTATGTTATACTAAAGACATCGATGTATGTTTATTATGAAGAGAATAATTATGCAAATGTTACCTCATTTCCCAATGTAATTCCTCCCAGTCTTATCACACGTTCTGATCTGCGTTAAGCCTATGTCTAGAGCGACTGTCTCGGTCTCCTAATCTCGTCCCCACAACGTTAGTTGACTAACGATAGTTGGATAAACCAGCCGGAAAAAATTGCCCGTCAGCATTTTTGTTTTTCTATACCAAGCCCCTAATCTCGTCATAAACACGACACAGGGAATTGTCTATTAATTCGCAACCCGTTTTTAGATGGTCGTTTCTATGCGGTTCTGTCCCTTGTTTTGTTATACCGCATCAGGGCGAGTTATCGGACATGAGAGCTTCTGTGTATCAAACTAAGAAATAATGAAGCAAAATGTGGGGGCTGGGAAAGGAAAAAAAAAATCTTTTCCATACGTCGTATGAATATTCAAATAGTTGTACGAAAAATAGCTGTCTGGGTGGTAGAGTTTAAACATTCAGACTCGATAGGTTGTTTGTGTAAAGTGGGATTAATCCTGATCATACGGACTGTCATGTAATCCCATAAACATATATATATATATATATATATATATATATATATATATATATATATATAATATTTACGATTAATTCATATTAAAAATACCGTATAGTTAACCAAACTTTTATCTACAAACCTCTAAAAATGTATGATATTTAAGGTGAATAATACATCATGAAATATTTTCACAGTCGTTTTTGTAAAAGTGTTGTTTGTGTTTTATATTGTTTTTGTGGACATTTTGCGACGTCCAAGATTGCAATATACAATAGCACTGTATTCTTCTTCGTCGTTCTTAGTTATAATATATTTAAGGACATCCCCAATATAATTAAGTTTTACGTGTTATATGCTATATAGGCCATTGGTTACTATTTTTGCATGGATCTCTTTCAAATTTACCTGCATAGTCTTTGTTGACTCAAGAACAATATGCAAGGTTGTAGTTAATTGATGTTTGATTCTTCTCTTCCAATGAGTTGCTGTCCATATGTGCTCTGTTTATGATTGAGTTTAAGATTGTTTTAGGCGAAATTCTATATCAAAAACACGTTAAAAAAATTACAAATTACAAAAATCACTACGTCAAAAAAAAAAACAAACAAAAAAAAAACAGAAAAAAAAACAGCTCTTGTAGAAGTAGAGAATGAAATATGTTTTTAAGTAAAGCATAAGAGGGGGAGTTGAGGTAATGACTGTTTGACGTGTGTGGTAGCGCCACCTACATGACTTACGATGTTTTCAGTCACAGTGACGAGCCGCCTTTATTGTTGGTTATTTCCCTTTGG